AACTTAGTGTCGACATCACTTATGGTGAAACACGGATTCAAATGTGTTTTTGTTTCCGATAAGCTTGTAATAAGTAAGAATGACATGTATGTTGGAAAAGGTTACCTCACTGAGGGACTTTTCAAACTCAATGTAATGACCATGAATGGTAATAACAATGATTCTTCCGCTTACTTACTCGAGTCAAACAATCTATGGCACGCTAGATTGGGACACGTGAATTACAAGTCTTTGAGAAAAATGATCAATTTGGAATTGTTGCCCAAATTTGATTGTAAGCAATCAAAGTGTGAAGTTTGTGTTGAATCTAAGTTTACTAAACATTCTTTCAAATCAGTTAAGAGAAGTAGTGAACCTCTAGACTTAATTCATACAGATATTTGTGATATGAAATCATCACCATCTCGCGGTGGTAAAAAGTTTTTTATAACTTTTATTGATGATAGCACACGATATTGCTATGTTTATTTGCTTAATAGTAAAGATGAAGCTATTATTGCATTTAAACAATACAAAAATGAAGTTGAGACACAACTCAATAAAAGGATCAAAATGATCAGAAGTGATAGAGGCGGTGAATATGTATCTCCGTTTGAAGAAGTATGTTTGGAATTTGGCATTATTCACCAAACTACCGCCCCATACACTCCCCCAATCCAATGGAATTGCGGAAAGGAAGAATCGAACATTGAAGGAGATGATGAATGCCTTATTGATAAGTTCCGGTTTACCGGAGAACATGTGGGGCGAAGCTATTTTAACAGCTACTCAAATACTCAACCGAGTTCCCCACAGTAAGACACAATCCATTCCATATGAGAAATGGAAAGGAAAAAAGCCTAACTTGAATTACTTCAAAGTGTGGGGGTGTCTAGCAAAGGTCCAGGTTCCTCTCCCAAAAAGGGTTAACATAGGACCGAAAACGATAAATTGCGTTTTCATAGGTTATGCTACAAAAAGTAAAACATACAGATTTTTGGTTCACAAATCTGAAATCCCCGATATTCAGAGGAATACGGTGATTGAGTCAGATAATGCTGAATTTTTTGAAGCGATCTTCCCGTACAAAAGAGAATGTGAATCAATTAATAAAGGAACCAAGCGAAATCGGGAAGTGAATACAGAGGATGCACGGACCTTTGCTAGACACCCCCACACTTTGAAGTAATTCAAGTTAGGCTTTTTTCCTTTCCATTTCTCATATGGAATGGATTGTGTCTTACTGTGGGGAACTCGGTTGAGTATTTGAGTAGCTGTTAAAATAGCTTCGCCCCACATGTTCTCCGGTAAACCGGAACTTATCAATAAGGCATTCATCATCTCCTTCAATGTTCGATTCTTCCTTTCCGCAATTCCATTGGATTGGGGGAGTGTATGGGGCGGTAGTTTGGTGAATAATGCCAAATTCCAAACATACTTCTTCAAACGGAGATACATATTCACCGCCTCTATCACTTCTGATCATTTTGAATTACATCCATTCGGGTGTTAATTGCTTTGGCTGCCGTCTATGAATTGCAAATCCATCAAATGGACGTTAAAACCGCATTCCTAAATGGAGATTTAGAGGAAGAAATCTATATGGAACAACCTGAAGGGTTTGTAGTTCCGGGAAAAGAAGGTAAGGTGTGTCGACTTGTTAAGTCTTTGTATTGACTTAAACAAGCACCAAAGCAATGGCATGCTAAGTTTGACAATGTAATGTTGACAAACGGTTTCAAGATTAATGAGAGTGATAAATGTATCTACATTAAGAACACTCC